GTTCGGGGTTCTCTGTAACGTCTAGAGACCTACCGGCTGGGGCAAAAAAGACTTCGACGAGTAGTCGAAGGGCATTCGTATAGATTTATGGTGTATTCTTGCAGTCGTTTGTATTCTAATAGTCAAAAACTGATAGACTGCTTGAATATTGGTGAATCTCCATACTACCTTCTACAGCCAGACGTCCGATGCATTCTCGAGCAGGAAAGCACATAATATGACAACGATCCCTATTGTAGTTAGAAGAACTCATTTTTCAACACATTTTTTTCTTTTGCAATCATAGTCCTTATTTTGTGATTGCGTTGCTTTCTTGGACAATGTTGAGCAGTATGTTTAGTTTCTCCATAATATAGATATAAGCCCTTTTGATGTCATCGAGTCTTTTTTTGCTTTGTGAGGAGTTTAAAACCGTATCAATTTACATTGGCTCTCGCCTTGATGGAAAGGTTTCCAAAAACTTAAAAAGTGTTGCCATGACTTGACTTGTTCGTCTCCAGCCATATCTTTGTTCTTGACGTCTTTCAAATAAATGATTATCACATAGAATAGCTTGAACAATGAATTGTTCTAAAGAATCTGTTTTTGGCATTCTCAATAACAAATCTTTGACATTATCTTTTAATCCATAGCAAAATTGATTGATAAGGGATTTATCATTCCAATCCACATCACAAGCAAGACTTTGAAATTCAGCGACATACTTGGTGGTTGAACGTGATCCTTGTCGTAGTGATATAAGCTTGGTCTCTCCTATCCTTTCTCAATCACTTTCTCTAAATGTAGCCGTAAATACTTTCAAGAATGAGTTCAAATCATAGAGTAGTCGTGAATCTTTTTCCATCAAAGGTGCAAACCAAGAGAGAGCACTTCTAAATAGAAGTGCACCTATGAATCCAACTTGAGTAAATCCATTAGGATATTAGAAAGGATATAACCTTAAGTAGAATTTAACTTGTTGCAAAAATCCTTGAAATCTTGATCTTGTTCCGTCAAACTTTTTAGGCATATTAATCCTTGCCTCCCTCGAGCTTGTAGAAGCAAAACTCTCGGAATTTGGTTGCGAGGCTAATCGACTTATTTTGTTCAACTACACAACTTCTTAGCATAGACTCTGAACTTCTTCCATAGTAGTAGAAATAGTGCTTCCATAGTTGGTTTTGGTGATGTGTGAAATTTTGGTCCTAAGAGTGTTGATAAAGTCATGAAGATCTGCAATAGTTGCAAATTTATTTTCACTTCCACTAAGTGTAGCATCCATGATTTTTTCTTCCATAGACAACTCAAATGAATTCAAAAGTTAAATAAGAGGAAGGTAATCCGTAACCTCTAAAAATAAATTCCACAAAGAAGGATAATCTACTCTCTTTAATGAAAAGATCAATGTTAGAAAATAAGATTTTTTTTATTTAAAGGTGGGTAGTCCGCAACCTTCAAAATACAATAATAGAAGTGGGGTAATCCACTCACTTCTAGAACAAGATAAAAATAATATGTTAGTACTATTGTCAAACTAACAACGACATAAACTCCAAAGAAAGATAATCTCAATACACTCTCGTGTCACTCGAAAATACTTAGAAATCACTCAAAGGTGATAATATATTGAACTAGAATGGCTATTGCCAAAGACTAGAAAACATGACGACTCTTGAAACTAGATTGGAAATAAGAAAGGAGTTGACAAGAGTGAAGAAGGCTTCACTCTTGTCTCTATATATACTATCTAACTAGGAGCTACGTGGCGACGTTTTATAGGACTTCCAATATGTGTTGACTTTGTAGGACACTTGTCTTGACTTACAAGGCAAATTTTTCTACGTGTGGGCCATATAATTAGCTTGGTCTTCAAGCTAACATCATGTGTGGCACATGGCCAACTTGTTGACTACGTTTCTAATCCAAAAAGTCAATTAAAGACACCTATGAAGTCAAAGCAGTATCTATGAAGCTTCTAGGAAGCTTCTATACCAAATACTATAGAATTAACTTATTTTTATCTACTTTTACTTACTTCTACTTATTTATATATGTAATTACTAGCTTACATGAGTATGTCCGTGACAACTATGGCATAACTATTAATGCCAATGGAGATTGATACCACAAAGACAATAAATATTGTCACAAAAAGAATTGTGTTTTTATTGTCAAGAGTTAGGCTATTAGATCATAGGTTGTCCAAAATGTCGAAATTCAAGTACCAACAAATCAAGGCGGTTTCACAATCTCAAGTCTCATCAAGTTAATAATAAGATGGAGCATGAAAATGAGTCTCTTTAGTAAAGGCATTGAGGGCTAATATTAAAAATAAGTATTGCTTCTTAGAGACAAATAGTATGGCCTTAAAAAGAATCAACTAGTATATTTAATGGGACAACTAAAAGGATAGCCATGTCGAGTACTTGTGGATTGTAGTTCCATAAAAAATTGTATCTTGATTAAAATTGCTAACCAACTTGGGATTAAAACTAATGTAATTAAAGGAGAGAATATATACCTTGCAGATGACTAAGAAAATACTTTGAGGTGCCTTCTTTCAAATAGAACTATTATCTAAAATCAAACCGATAAGTCAATTAATTTATTACCTAATACCAAAAGAACTTAAAGAGCTATAAAAGACATTGGATAAATTTTTGGATAAGGACCTTATTCAAAAAAGTACATCACCATAGAAAGCACTTATATTCTTTACTTCCAAGAAGGATTGTGGACTTTGGCTTTGCATCAACTATTACGGCCCCAATAAGCAAATTGTTAAGAATACATATCCACTTTCATTTGTGGACAATCTTTTTGACCAATTTTGATGTACAACCAACTTTAGAAAATTGGATCTTTGAAGTAGCTATTGGTAGACACCTAATGCAAGAGAGGATATAGAAAAGATGGCATTTTGTATATGCCATGGGCATTTTGAATGGCTTATTTTACTTTTTGGCCTCACCAATGCTCTAGCCTCCTTCATAGATCACATGAATAGATTATTTTAGGATCTTTTGGATAAGGATCTAATTGTCATTATTGATGATATCTTAATATATAGTAAAATCCTTGAGGAGTATGAGTAATATCTATAGAAAGTGATGTATTGGCTACAAGATAGTCGCTTCTATTAAAAGCAATCAAAGTATGAGCTTTGAAAGTCAGAGATCATCTTTTGGAGGCATGTGGTGTCTTTAAAAGGCATATACATAAAGCAAGATAAGGTTTAAGCAATAGAAGATTGGCCAACCTCTAAGGACGCTTCTAAAGTCTGCTCTTTTTTAGACCTTATTAGATATTATCTCTATTTTGTTTGGTAATTTGTATACATTATTGCATCATTGATATGTTTATTAGAGAATGGTGCTTCAATTGAATGGAAACTAGAATAACAAAGTGTCTTTGATAAGTTAAAAGAGGCACTCATTATTGCTCCAATATTGCTATTGTATGATCTCAATTTTCCTTGTACACTTAACATTGATGCTTTTGACTTTCCTAATAAAGCGGTTCTTCAACAAAACTTTGGTAGGGGCCTTCAACCCCTAATATATGAATCATGCAAGTTCAAAAGGACAAAGCGCAATTACTCTGCACATGGTCAAGAGCAATTAGCAATTGTATATGCCACAAAGATGTGGCAATATTATTTGTTGAAGAAACCAGTGATTGTTCAAAGTGACCATTGATCCCTGCTATATGATTTGTTTTTAAAAAATGTGAAATCACAAAATCATCATTGGAAAGAATAGTTGCAAATTTTTGACATTCAACATGAATATAAGCAAGAGCAATAATATAATGTATTAAACAACTTATTATGGAGACCAAATTTAAAGGCCAAATTGGGAGACAAGGCAAAAATCACTACCATTAATAGTATCATTTCAAATCTAACTAAAGAAGTAGAATAGAAAGAAGCTAGACATTGGGATGCTTATTTCAAGATGGTTAGGAATTGACTAAAGGTAGACGATGTGCAATATTAAGATTATAGTTTTAGAAATGGCTTGTTCTATTTCAAAAAGAGGATTTATGTACTTAACAATGCTATATTCTTAATACACATACTTCAAGAGGGACATGACATCCCAATATTTGGACATCTAGGACATAACAATGGATCTTAAGGACATGGTTTTGGATAGGTTTGGATCATGATGTTCAAGCTTTTGTACTCTCTTGTAAGTCATGCAAATATAACAAAGCATACAATGCAACATCTCTTGGACTATTGCAACCAATTCTATTAATTACAACACGATGAAAGAAGGTGACTATGGATTTCAATATTTGCATCAAACGCTTCAGATTGACTTTTGAGGCAATTTCACTTGGCAGCAATGTGCTCAAATATCAATGCCCCAATACTTGTATCCAAGACATTACAAGTATTCTCTGGAAGACGAGTTAGTAAGTGTAATACCAAGACACAAGTACAAGTTTAGTTGGACAGTTCTTCAGACTTTTTCACATGTCGTGAAACATCAACATGGATTTTGTTTTGTGAAAGAAGTATGTAGACTGATCAATTTTACATAATACTGCACTCAAGTTGAAGAAAAGTTTTGTAAGTGATAGTCATTCGTCACAGTGAATGATGTTGAGAAGGACATGTTTGACGAGGTGGTTTAGTAGTGGTTTAGTAGCGAATATGAGCAGAATACATGTTCGGTTGTACATCGTCATTTGAGGAAGTCAGTGAGCTACATGGAACTTAGTCTGCCTTGTATCACATTCTGGACAGGCATAGCAACATAAATATCTATTGGTTGTGACTTAATCTGTTGAGTACACAGTAAATAAGCTATGGTAGAAATTACACGATAAAAAATACATTAAGACGGGCATTACTGCACATAGTGAATCATACAACTTGGGTCTTCCTGTTTTTCAGTGCACAACCTACATGCATCTAACATGCAAAGGAAATTTGTACGAGGATTGTGTAAGAGTGGGCAAATGAGAGTACTGTGTAAGCACCTCATCTGAGAAGACAGAAGGCACAAGCATTACGGGAAGATTTTGCACAAGTTATGCAAGTGAAAAATCACATGTAATGTTACAAGCTTATTTCGAAGAATGAGCTATCAAATTCCCTCAAAAGGTATCAACTCTCCTCTCCTCCCTATGTACATTGCTTCAGCATGTTCAGATCGAAAGTCTTCTGGACTTACTTACCTGTACTACTCAATCTACTCCAACCCTTCGACCAAAATTAGGACCTCAATGCTGCGAACTAGGTGCACGACGAGGTTCCAGCTGGGCTTGAGATTAGATTGGCTCCTACACATGCTGAGGCGGCAAGTTTAAAACCAGGTTGCATTAGTCTGGATCTACTGAGATAGATTCTGAGGTCTTCACCCTTTCACAGACTACAACAATAGCTTGTGTGCAACGTAAAATGTACAGGTGTAGAGAGCAGAGAGGCATCAAGGGATTCAAAAGATGTATCGCCAAGGAATTGAAAGAATCAGACTGAAGTCCCTTCTGAGTGCGTTCGAGGGGACTGGAAACGCTCACTCGATCGCAACTCCTCCAGAGATCGGATAACTGCATCGGTGTCTGGACGCTCTGATGGAGAAGGAGACACGCATCGCATAGCTAATTGCAATGCTGTCATTAACTCCTCCTCGGTAGGTGCCGCAGCACCTTTCATCAGCTCTAAGTCAAAAACCTCTGCTGTCCAATTCTCCTTAACTATGCCGGCCACATAGTCAGGTAGATCAATGGCCCCATCGGTGGTGCTCACATCCTGAGGTGCCTTGCCTGCTCATGACAATGATATGTCGCGGACGGTTAGAACAGAAGCGTAAGCGATGACTTTTGTAAACCAATGAGCCAGGAATCTAAGTGATGATTGGAAGGAGTAATTACCAGTTAGAAGCTCCAGCAATACAATACCAAAACTGTAAACATCAGATTTCGTTGTTGCTTTCTTTAGTTTGGTTAGCTCAGGGGCACGATAACCAAGTGATCCAGCAGTAGCAACTACATTGGCATTCGCAGCTGGAGTCATAAGGCGTGAAAGGCCAAAATCTGATATACAGGCAGTTATGGCGGGACCCCTTGCGTCAAGAAGAATATTGGACGCCGTCAAATTCCCGTGGACGATGTTCTCGTTACTGTGAAGATGCAGAAGTCCCCGGCAGGCTCCCTCTGCTACCCTAATCCTAGTGGCCCAATCTAAAGATGTTTCAGGTCCTCTAGCTGAAATCATCCAACAACACTGTCAGTCATTGCAACCACTTTCACAATGGGTAGACGGACCGTGTCTCGAATAGTACTAGTCAGCATAGATATGTAGTTGGGAGTGGTAAAACTTGGAGGTTACTGAAAATATCAAAACGAAGAAAAAACACATGCAAAAATGCTGTGCAGTGGGACACTTCAGGACCGGAGACATACCATGCAGAAATGCAGCCAAACTTCCACCGGGCATGTAGTCGTACACAAGGAGCTTCTCGTCCTTAGGACCCCAGTAGTAGGACCTCAAAGATAGCAAATTTGGATGCCTAATCTTGCCGAGGACGTCTACCTCTTTGGTGAAATCCTTTTGGGACTTCACGATACCCTCACGCAAACGCTTCACTGCGATATGGCTACCATTTTCTAAGGTAGCCTTGTATACAGTACCATATGTGCTCTTCCCTAACACTTCAGCTGTTGCACATAGAAGATCATCAGCTGTGAACTGGAGCGGTCCTTCGAAATGGACCAGTTTGCCTCCAGCTTCACCCTCTCGTTCGGGAGACCTCTCAGGCTTGTCGCCACCCGCGGCAGCTGCCCCTCCGCCTCTACAGCAGCAGCATAGCGTTATGATCATCGTCACCAGCAAAATGAAAGTCAGCGCACCACCGAGAGCAATGAAAACAATACTCAAGGTACTTAGTCGTCTCCCTCTAGTTCCGGCTCCTTCTGCTATGACGGGCGACGGTGCAGGACTTGAAGGAGGACAAGCTAACAGACCTGGAAATCCACACAGCCCCTCGTTTCCAGGTTTGAAGGAGGATATGTTGAAAGCAGTAACAAAGGTAGGGACAGGGCCACTGAGCCTGTTGTAAGTAACATTCAGGCTGGTGAGCGGCAAGCTCCCGAATCCGGAGGGGAACTCACCACTCACGTTATTCACCCGCATGTCGAAGGTTTCTAGAGAAGTGAGATTGACGTAGGTCGAGGGAATAGTTCCACTCAGATTGTTGTTCGCAATGCTCAGAACCTTAAGGGTGTGCACGTTTCCCAGCCCCTCCGGAAGGATACCAGTGAGCTGGTTGTTGCCCACATGCAACTCCACTAGTCTTGTGGATGTCCACGTCCCGGGTAGAGGCCCGTTGAGGCTGTTAGACCCCAAGTCTAGATACTGTCCCCGAAACGCGCCATACTCCGATGGTATTGAACCAGTCAGGTTGTTACCACTAAGATTGAGAATGTTGAACGCGAGCGAATTGGCCAAGTCCGCAGGAAGAGACCCGGAGAGATTATTGTTGGACACATCGAAAGCTTGTAGAAGTGGCAAAGCTCCGAAACCTGTCGGTATTGGGCCTGTAAACCTGTTATTAAACAATGCAACCCCCCGCAAAGAGGTAATAGTGGCCAGAGAGGCTGGTATGGCTCCAGTGATGTTATTATGGTGGAAGTTGAGCTTCCGAAGACCTATGAGGCTGCCAACATCAGTGGCAATGGAACCACCAAGCCGCCTCGATGGAAGCGCAATGGAGATAATGCGCCCTTGAGCACATTTGATGCCTAACCAAGTGCCATCGCATGATCCCAATCCACTCTCATTCCAGCTTGCCAAGACATTGCGAGGGTCAACTAATGCACGCTTAATCCTGAGCAAGGCCAAGACTTCCTGCGGAGACGCGGGTATGCCATCTGTGTTCGGTAGCTGGTCCGGGTCTTGGGCTGCAATTAGGTGAATGAGCAGCAAGAAGAGAACGATCCGCCATCCTGCCCACAGGTTCCATATATTTGGCTGCTTATGGGAAACCATTACGGCCAACTACATCCAATTTTGAAACACTCCTAAGTGCTACAGCTGGAGAACAGCTTGGCACATAATTCACTTATCAGCTCCCCCACAACTACCTCAAGGCAGATCTCGCAGCAGAATTTGCAACACGTACGTAGGCTACACAAACAACACGGACCTAAGCTGCGATTTCAGCTTGTCAAAGCACTACCACGACGGACATTATTGCAACTCCAGGACATTAAGAGCTTAACGAAATGTGAAACTCCTGCTCGACCCTCGAAACTACGGGGGAAGGATACTGCAAGGTTCTAATGTAGACGTGGTATCACTGGAACACACGGTGTGCATGTCGAGGAAACAGCAACCTCCGAAGTAAAGCGTTCACGCACGGAGGAGAGAGCTACAGTGACCACACGCGCAAATTAACAGCTAAAACTCACACACACACATACACACACTGTCCCCGCTCCACGCAAAACAGTGAATAAACTATCCTCGCCAGTTGCCGAAATGTACATAACAAACAAGACAGCTGAATTCAACCACGATCAACCGAGCCTCCCACGCGACCAACGGTAGAAACGCATCCCTCCCACACACTTCCCTCGGAAGAGATTAACTACCACCTGCAACACCCCCACCCCCAATTTGCAACGGTCAGAAGCACCAGAACCCAAAATATTCCACAATCCAAAGAGATCACGACCGAGACTATTCCTAGAACCGCGCCGGCAACACTCTTCACTGCAGCTGCAGCGTGAAAACTCTCCCCCACAGCCGCACTCTAGCTCTCCCTAGACACGCTTGCAGCTCCCTCCCTCCAGACCCACAACGGCGCAAAATACGAGGGGCGCGGCTCGAAACGAACTCTAAACTGACGCACTGGCGAACACACCCTAATGAAATGAGACGGTCTCCAGCTGCTGTGACGACGCATCGAGTGTGCTGGCTAACGGACGGATCCGTCATCCCCACACCCCACCATCGCTGCCACTGCATCCACCAGGGTTCGTGATCGCCGCCTCGCCTCTGGCTCCTGCAACGGGGCTCCGTATCCTTAGGGTGCACGGGTCCAGACTCCCACAGGACCCCACCCCACCCGGCCCGGCCCGGCCCCACTCGGATCCAATGCTCGCTGGCATCCGTCCGATCCGACAGCTCTCAGTCGGGAACCGTTGGATCGTGTCCCCCTGTTGCAATAATACAATGAAGCTGGCGGCGGTCGGGAGAGCCGTTCGGGTTCGCGATTGGGATGTGTCTTCGGCATAACGGTCATAAGTGTATGGACGATATCGTTCAAGGATGATGGGTTATGAGTCTATGGATGGATGTGGAATCTTCCAGCAGGGATTCTGGAGGGAGACCCGTTGAACAGTTGGAGAGGTTCCAGTTGGCGGGAATTCTATGTCGGGTTCCACGCTGGACTTCAGTACAAGCAAAACGGTACCATTCCGGAGGGTCTGATTTCGGAACCGTGGCTGCATGAGGATTTATTTATTTATTTATTGTTTTGTGAGCATTTTTTAATTTTTGTTCAATAATTTCAGTCATTCGATGGCACTGAACGTTTTCCAAGAAGGGAATCGATGATTATTTTGATTGTTGGCTTCTTATCAATTTTTACTTCGTATGTGTGTTTTATATATATATATATATATATGTATATACATATATATATGTTTTAGAGGTAAGTTTGAATTTATTCGTTGGCTCTTTTTACTGTAAAAGGGCAACGTCTTGGCCTTTCCACCACATTGGCCAGATATGTCTCAGAAATTGATGAAATGTTAATCCACATCTGGCATTTGGAATCAGTGGATGAAAGTAAGTCAGTATTTTTTTAACTTTCAGTTTAAACTCAAGTTTTTCAGGGAAAATTAGAAGCTCGCGTTTATAATGATAATAGTAATGACATCTTCTTTTTTCTTTCTTTTTTTTCCTTTTTTTTTCATGTGAATGTCTTTGTAAGACATCTTTTTCAGGAGAATATGTAATTAAGTACATAACTAAAGACCGTGTTGGAATTATTGTACCTATTTTTCTTTTATAGTTTTTGTGTTATGATTTATTCTTCGTCCAAAAATAACTTGTAATATTATTTGTATGTGTAAAATTTTAGACGTGTTCACCCACAGTAATATTTACATTTGGTTTTATTTTTATTATTACAAATTTTTAATTCAGTCATTTGTAAGCTTTTACGATAAGCATAACAAAAGCACGAATTTAACAATGCAAGCACTATTCACTAAGGTCAAATAACATGTTGTAAGATCAGAGTAGCTAGAAATAGTTTCAATTAGTAAAATGAGCATGATTCTTAGCTATTAACAAAATGTTGAAACCAAATTTGACTTTAGACACCTGCAGTAGCAACCCTCTGCCTTGTTTTCATAAACATGTATTGAAGATAAAAACCAAAACAAGTTAAGCACTAAATACCACATTTCACAAATAAATTACTTCATTTTTTTAAAAAAGTAATTTTTTTTTGGGACATTTTTTTGGTTATTTCTTGGTGGCAAAATGAAAGTTTGATTGTTTTTTATAATAAGTTACCAAAAAAAAATATTATAAAATAAAAAATCACACAACAACAATGACAACAAAAGGACAATATTGGAATCATTGTAGACAAAATGGGAATCATGTGTCGAAAAAGATGGTGAATAGGAGGAGGAGGCAAAAGGAGAATGAATGAATGAGAAGGGGATTGAATTTGGGGGCAATAGAGTGAGTGGCATCAATTAGACCACCATTGGACTGCTATTGAATGAAGGGTGATCATGGGTATCATGGATATCATGGGATATCAATCCCCCCCCCCTTTTTTTTTATGTGGTACTAAGTAAGTAGGTGGGTGTGTGGGGGCCATTGCTTTAAATACCCAAAAAAAATGAGGGGAGGGGGAAGAGGATTAATAATAAGTTGGGCTTCATCCATTTGAGCATTCATTCGTTGGTACTTACTTGTATTTGAATGAAATGGGCTTTGAACCATTGGGTGGAACTTAGACTTAAGTTGGTTGTGCAATAATAAACAAACATGGTCACGCCGTGTGATGTGTTGTGGTGGCAATGCTTCTCATTTATTTATGCCCCCTAATTCCATTTTTTTTTTTTTTTTTTTTTTTTTTCCTTTCCTCCTGTTGTTTTTAAGTTGCTGACTATTTTCATAACATGGAGCATAATAGTGATTTATACTTTTGCATATTATGGAGCAAGTTCAAGTCAGCATAAAACATCATTTGAACGTTATAATTATTAATTAAAGTTTCAATTGTCATTATACCAATTTCCTGACGTATTTGAAATTATTACAAAGAAGTCATCATCACTATCATAGACGTACTTCTAAAGAGAACGGAACTTACTATTATTATTATCATTTTATGAAACTTATAAATAGTTTTGTATGATTAATGTTTTTTTTTTTTTTTTTTTTTTTTTTTTTCCCCAATAACAAGCATTCTTTGTAATACCTCTGTATACAACACCACTAAAAAGTTTGAATAATTTGCCTTTGTTTAAAAATGATAATTTCATTCAACAATTTGCAACCTTCACTGCAGTCAACAGTCAATGCATGAGTGTAGAGGTTTGCTAAATATTAATGTGCCTTGACAAAATAAACATCTACATATAAATTTAACTCAGTTGATTAATGCCAGGTCATCACACTAAACTAGTCATTGCACTACTGCCTTATATTTTGAATATTCAAATCCAGATTTCCCCTCAAACAATCAACTTTTCTGACATCTTGCAAAACTGGGTTGTAAATTATACATGCTTGGTGTCAAGAAACTTTCACTTTGTAACGTCATACCCTTATTCAACAATTTTCAAGTGTATTAAATCTAACGACATTATTCAAATTGTTATGACATTCGGTTGCAATACAAGTTCAAGACTACAGTCTTAAATGCTGCGTCTTGGACACCAAAAAATGCGAAAGCTGTTCACCTTGTTGCAGGAAGAACTCACCAATAAGACTGAGAATCCATGGCGTCTTTCTTTACACGCTTCATATTTTACACGCACTTTTATTTATTTATTATTATAAGATACTCCGGAGCGGGCGTGTCCTGTAGATCAAAATGTCTCAACAAGTTCAACTGAGAAAGCCGAATTTTTCCAATTGATTCCTCTCTGATGCTCATTATACAATCAACTGTGCTTTTAAGTCCTACCAAATACAATGTCTGAAAAACCTTGCCTGGCAAATGGTGTCCTCTTGAGGTCAATCATTTTCCTGCAGTGCCATGGTTGTGTTGTTGCATTCCGAGCTCCAGTAGGCGAGGTATATGCTGTCCGGCTGCAGTTACTAGATGTAGAGTAGTTGCACAGCGAAATTCGAACCTGGTCTGAGGAGATGGTTCGAAGCAAGGATTCATCAGTGTCCATCTCGTGAGCAACCGAAACATATATATATATATTACAGAATCTACTTGTTCATCAACCCAGCAGTAAGATATTCAATTCTTGCAACAAGGGGGGTGAGACACTTTCGCACCTGATTTTGTACGCGTCCCTCCAATGTCCACGATCGATCTCTGGTGAAGTGTCACATCCTGCCCAACTATCACCAACAATTGCAATCCTGTCAGTGAGACGAATTGAACTCCCTGTGGATGGAACACAAACTGGGTTAAGCTCACCTCTGATATCGATCACCATGTTTTCGCGTCGTGAGCAAGAGAAAAATCTGGAGGTAGCAGGCTTTCTTCCAGAACCTCATCACTACGAGCTGTTCAGATGTTTTCGAGGGAGACTCGATGAGATTGCAGCTGCCAAGAGGCCTTGGGGGAAAATCTTTCTTACTTGGAGAAACCTATTTTGCCGAGGTGTAGTGGACAGCGCCGCATTTCGAAGGCATCTTGAGAGATGCAGGGAGCTTCAAGGATACCACTGCGTCTTATTTGGTACGAGAGGCCTCCGCCGAAGACAATGTTCGTCTTGATTTACATTCGAATCAGCCGAGCTCATCAATAGTCCACTTTCCACGCCCGTCCCACATCTCCAGTGGTGGGTTTTGATGCCTTCGACAATCCCAGAAATCCTTCGTGACTTGGTGTGTGTGCTGTCTCCAAAGAGAGCAGCCTCGTTGGGGTTGCAACCATCTCCGCTGCCACCTAACTTTTTTCTCAACAATGAAGAGGCTTTCTCCTCTGAAATCTGAGATTCAGAATGTTGCGCTTTATCAAGATAGAACTGCCATGAAACTTTAGAACATGACAGCAGGTTGGCAGGAACTTCAAATTTCTTCGTTGGGTTGATCTCACCTCGTCGTACGAGAACAAATTCTCGAAGTTAGCACTTTCTTCGTCTTCTTGTTTCAAGACTTTCGTTGTCTGAAGAAACATAATGGGACTAGTTGCTCTTGAAGTACAAAAGCTGTATCGGAATTGCTGATGAGCCAACCCTCTTTATCGTGAGGAAAATCCACAAGCCCTTGTCCCCACACCTTTTCAACACAGTTGTGACCCCGTAATTCTAGTTTAGCTTCCGAGAGGGATTGGCTTTTCTCTGTTCATTGTTCCTGACGCAGCAGTCCCTGGCTGGGTAGTTGTGATGGAACGTAAGTTCGACAGAAGTCTGCCCTACGCAGAAATTCGTGTTCATTTTCAAATACGAGTAATAAGTGCAACCTTGAAAATGAACACTTAATTGATGATATCAACTACAACAGGGGTAGTAGCGAGGGAAATCATTGAAACATACCGCACAAATTGTACCCCAGAGTCATGAAGACGATTGACCTGCAGGATTTCATGTCACAACATCACATCACCTGTTGCAGCCAGTTTTTCCTGTGGGCACGAACCTCCTGACAGAGCAGTCTTGAAATTCTACGTCCTTGTTGCGCTGCGAATCCCTGTAAGAATCCATGAACCTGCATCTTGGCTAACTTCGTATTCTGTATTATTGGGGGGAGACAATATCCGTCGCGTTGCTGCAAAAATGTGATGGCATTTCAGATTGAGCTACACAG